TTTTTTTCCTCAAAGCTTGGTTCAAACGCTCTAATTGCTGAGTATACTTGAGCATTAATTGTTGCATGAGGTGGTAAGAATTCAAAGTGGATTATTCCTTGGCGATCCCACCAGATTGAAAGAAGAACCTTTTCCCCATGAAGTTCCCTTCTCGGCTGTGGCTGAAGTTCTTCCCCTTTGCCAAGCCACTGTCTACGACGCTTAACATTTCTATAAAAGATCCATTTTTCGTCGCCAGTCACAAGTCTATCCAAAAAAGGTGAAACAAGTTGACGAGAATGGAGAGAAGAGCAGATGTCAACTCGGGATTTGAGGTTGTTTTCAGACAATTCATGAGGCACCCATTTTCCAAGTTTAGGAACTTTTCCAAGTTGTTGAAGATGACGATGGACAGTTGTATGGTTTGAACTCAGAACCACTGCCAATTCCTCAAATGATAAAGCAGGATTTTCTTCAAGGGCTGCTTCAAGAAGCTTTTCATCAAACTCAACTGGACGTCCAGTTCGATCTTCATCTTCAAGGGTGAAATCTCCACCTCTGAATTTTGCAAACCATCTTCTGCAAGTTCTTTCATTCACACATTCCTCTCCATAAACTGAGTGAATGTTTCTAGCTGCTTCGGCTGCTGAGTTTCCTTCCTTGAACTCATAAAGCATTATGTGCCTCAAATGATTCTTGGGTACTTCCATGTTAGCAGGGTTTTAATCAAACAAAATTTAATTTTATTGTTCTCTGAAATAAAATTTGATCAGTTTAAATGCATCTAAACCTAAAAATAATGTTCAGCTCCATTAGACATTATAAAATACTCTTTAAATTTCGTTCATTTTAACAAAAAGTTAAAATTCGGACAGAAGTTATGGGATGACCGGATAGGTTCAACGAGAAGAACGAATGATTGATAATCGTCTATAAGAATGGGAAAATATAACCAAGGCAAATTCTAACGAATCCCAAAAATAAAAAACACGAGGAAATGGTAAGGTACACAATCTTTGTGTCTATCAACTGTCATCAATCCATAAAAACATTGCACCAATTCTATGCTTATCAGTAAGTCCCAGAATGGATCACTAAAGGTATTACATATCTCCTGCCAAAAACAGATGATCTAGAAAATTATACATCAGTAACATGTCTGTCCACCATGTTTAAATTGATCACGTCTGTCTTGAAAAAACGTACTTACTCTTTTTTCGAAATAAACAACATTCTTCCACTAGAACCAAAGGAAATCTTGAGAGGTTCATATGGTTGCAAAGACCAACTAATGATAAACAAAATGATCCTGGAAAATTGCAGGTGACGATGTAGAAATCTTAGAGCAGCGTGGATTGATTATCGTAAATCCTTTTATAGTGTGTCACACTCTTGAATCCATAATACTTTGGAAATGTACAAATTCTCTCCTTTGATGGTAAAGGTCCTTAAGCACACCACTATACCACTATACCTAAATCACACCAGAGGCACTGCCATTTCCAACCGCCTGAATATCCGACGAGGAATCTTTCAAGGAGACTCCCTGTCACCTTCTGCTTTGTTTGTTCTTAATCCCACTTACACATAAACTAAACAACAGTAGCTAAGGTTACAAACTAAACATATAAGTATTCAATCATCTACTCTGTGTCACACTCTTGGATCCTTAAGTTTTTGGAAATGTACAAAGTCTCCCCCGTGGTAGAAAATGTCCTTAACCACAGCAATATACCCAAATCACTGCCATCTCTAACCGCCTGAAAAATTATAGGCCAATAACATGTCTGTCTACCACGTATAAACTGATCACGTTTGTCCTGACGAACTGTACTTAATCTTTTCTTGAAGAAAATAATATTCTTCCCCTAGAACAAAGCTGATGCAAAAGAGGTTCATATGGTAGCAGAAATCAACTATTCATAAACAAAATGTTCCTGGAAAACTGCAGGAAAACAGGTAGAAATCTCAACACGGCATTTACGGGCTACCATATATCCTTTGATAGTGTGCCACACTCCTGTACCCTTAAAACTCTGGAAATGTACAAAGTCTGCTCTGTGATAGTAAATTTCCTTAAAGACAGCATGGGGATGAGGAAAGCCACATTATTCCTAAATCACACCAAAGACACTGCCACTTCCAATCGACTGAATATCAGACGAGGAATCTTTCAAGCAAACTCCCTGTCACCCCTTCAGTTTTGTCGGTCCTTAATCCTTCTTTAGCATGAATTAAACAATAATAGCTATGGATACAAAGTAAACAAGAAAATATTCAATCACCTACTCTACATGGATGATCTCAAACTCTTTGCCAAAGACGACAATGAGTTGAAGGGACTCCTCAGTATAGTAAAATGCTTCAGTGACGATATAGGTATGGACTTCGGATTAGATAAATGTGCAAAAGTAACATTCAGTAAAGGAAGTGTTATGGTCCGGTTCCTTGTACCACGGTGATAGTCCAAGGTAGAACCAATAAAGAACTCGAACACAGATATGGAATAACACAGATATATTATAAACAGGAATATATACAGAAAAGTAGAAAGTGTTAGTACGAACAATCAGGTTTAGAAGTAATTGTCTGAACACGACTCTGTTTCGGACTGCCTCTGACTCGACTGACTGACTCGCTCGCTATGACTGACTGACAGACTCCTGACGGACCTCACTCCAAACTTCAGACTGAACTCCCTGCTTCCTCTTGAGGCGCAGTATTTATTACGTATGGAATAGTCCATTATGTTATTATGAGTAAGGTCCCATAACAGGAAGAATTACAGAAACGCACTGAATAGATTTAGATTTGGTCACAAAGATTAAGGAACTGGAACAAGAAGAAGAAGACTATAGGTACATAGGAATTAGCGAAGGAGATAGAATACAGCAGACCCAAATGAAGGAGAAAGTAAGAAAAGAAAGAAAAAGAAAAATAAGAAATTAATAGAAGGAATAACTGTGAAAAAGGAAAACACATGGTAAACTAATAACAACAACAACAATAATAATAATAATGATGGATTACTGTAAAGCCATTGATAGTGTGTCATATTCCTTGATCCTTAAATCTTTGGAAATGTACAAAGTCTGCTCTGTGATAGTAAATCTCCTTAAAGACAGCATGGGAATGAGGAAAGCCACATTATTCCTAAATCACACCAAAGACACTGCCATTTCCAATCGACTGAATATCCGACGAGGATTCTTTCAAGGAGACTCTCTGTCACCCCTTCTGTTTTGTTTGTCCTTAATCCCCATTATGCATGAACTGAACAACAGTAGCTATGGATACAAAGTAAACAAGAAAGTATGTAATCACCTACTCTACATGGATGATCTCAAACTCTTTGCCAAAGACGACAAAAGAGTTGAAGGGTCTCCTCAATTCAATAAAATGTTTCAGTGATGACATAGGTAAGTATTTCGGATTAGATAAATGTGCAAAAGTTTATCCCGTGGGCCATGTGTCCTCAAGATGTTGGTTAAATCCAATGACTAGACCCAACGAGATGTGAGTTCAATACCAGCCCACAGCAGAGGTGAATCAAAACTTGGAGAGTTAAGTTAAAGAGAAATAACTGAGACATCCGGAAGAGGCATAACACGTGGAATTAGAACAATCTACCACGGTGGACGAAATAAAGGGTTCTCTACGAAATTCTAATCATCTGAAGAAGGCCGGGCATACAACAACCGAAAAGTTGTGAATATGGCAATGAAGATGAGGATAACTGTACGAATAATGTAAAAAATGCAAGTAATCATAACACCTCATATAAAAGATATAGATAGATCCTGAAGAAAGCCGGGGCGTACAACGACCGAAACGTTGTGAATATGGCAATGACGATGAGGATAACAGTCCGAATAATGTAAATAATCATAATACCTCATCTCAGAGATATAGATCCCGAAGAAGGCCAGGGCATACAACGGCCGAAACGTTGTGAATATGGCAATGACGATGAGGACAACAGTCTGAATAATGTAAATAATCATAATACCTCATCTCAGAGATATAGATAGATTCTGAAGAAGGCCGGGGCGTACAATGGCCGAAACGTTGTGTGTGTGGCAATGACAATGAGGATAACAGTCTGAATAATGTAAATAATGTAAATAATCATAATACCTCATCTCAGAGATATAGACAGATCCCGATAAAGGCCGGGGCGTACAACGGCCGAAATGTTGTGAATATGGCAATGAAGATGAGGATAACAGTCAGAATAATGTAAATAATGCAAGTAATTATAATACCTCATCTCAGAGATATAGATAGATTCTGAAGAAGGCCGAGGCGTACAATGGCCGAAACGTTGTGTATATGGCAATGACAATTAGGATAACAGTCTGAATAATGTAAACAATGTAAATATTCATAATACCTCATCTCAGAGATATAGACAGATCCCAAAGAAGGCTGGGGCGTACAACGGCCGAAACCTTGTGAATATGGCAATGACGATGGGGATAACATTCAGAATAATGTAAATAATATAAGTAATCATAATACCTCATCTCAGAGATATAGACAGATAATAAAAAGCGTCTAATTAAGTTCCTGATTGAAAAAAAAATTCAAAATCTTTTATATTCCGTCCATTATTAATATCTAATGACCTAGTTCCGATCCAAGTTTGAATCAAGATGCTACTGCTGGGCGTGTCACAAATGTCGATACTGGGTAGCGCGTGGTAAAGTGAGGCAGGTGAGCCACGCAGGCTGATAGGGGGGGGGGTCGGTAAAGAAGGAGCCAGAGAAACAAAGGATTCATCTTCCCACTGTTACTTTATGAGCAAAGTTAATTAGAAGAATTTCGAATTGTCACATAAAAGGAAATGAAGGCGGCCTTTTGCATACTGGCAAAAATGATTAGTGACAGGCAGGGAGATGGGAAAAGATAGGGAAATCGATCCAACCTTCTATTCGTCGGAGGTAACGAAAGAGTGCTACATAGGATTGGCAAAAGTATTTTAAAGTCTCCTGGGAGTAATTAATCTTACCTCTCTCTTTTTATCGTGATAGATAGATAGATAGATAGATAGATAGATAGATATGAACAGAGTGAGATAGATAATGAACAAACTGAGATAGATAGATAGATAGATAGATAGATAGATAGATAGATAGATAGATAGATAGATATGAACAGAGTGAGATAGATAATGAACAAACTGAGATAGATAGATAGATAGATAGATAGATAGATAGATAGATAGATAGATAGATATGAACAGACTGATTTAGATAATGAACAGACTGAGATAGATAGATAGATAGATAGATAGATAGATAGATAGATAGATAGATAGATAGATAGATGTGTTCATATCTAATTAAATAGTGAATTGATTTGATAAATGATTTTTCCGAAGGTCAGATCCGTTGGGAATTTTCTCAAACGATCTTATCTTTTAATCTATCTTTCCTACAATTTATTGGCTTGGTGCATAATTATCAGGCGTTTTTGTAGGCGAGTTATTTGTTAATAAAAAATTCTGTTTTGTTTACTCTTTTTAATTAAAATATTATTTCATTTTCATGTTATAAAATGCGTGTCAATAATCATATGCTCTGGAATGATCATTTAAAATGTTATTGTTGAATTGTTGTTTCTTTTTTCATAATAAATATTGTTTAAAACGCCTGATAATTATGCACCAACCAATATTTACTTAAAACACATGCCCATGTTCTTTTGCAACACGTCTTTTAACAACAAAAGCAAAAATGTTATTGATTTTGCAAAAATGTTAAATTTAGCAACGCTCATAAATATTCATCAGGTTAGTCGAACAGTCTTGGCAACGTATGGAAGACGCCAATTGAAACATTTTAATACACTACAAACGAAGCGAGTAAATGATGTTCTTGAATTTTTTTTTATTGTAAATTAGTATTTAAATTATTTTAGTTTAGGATTAATTTATCTGTTATATATTTTAAATGACATGGGGTTATGTATTTAAACGTTTTCCTTTCATTTTTTTAACATCTTTGTAGCCATGTATATTGTCTTCGAAACGGAGATTTATTTGTTGATAAGAGACAATAGCGGAACTCTCAAGAATTTTCCGTCTAAGTTAGTTTCGTTTTAATAAGTGTGGTATTTTTTAGAGAAAAGTTGGGATTGAATTTATTTCGATGTATAACTCATGCATTTGATACATTGTTGTGTATAAGATCCCTTTTTTGTTCACAGAACTGTTTTATTAAATTTCTGCAATTTTTCCCAATATATTGTGAGGAGCCGTCCTGGTTATTTTTCTCTGTTTCAGAATTATTATCGTTATGTGTATATTTGGTTCTGATCATATCCATAATATTTTCGATATGGTTTGAATTATTTTCATGTTGTTTAGATTACAGAAATTGTTTTGAATAGTGGATGTTATAGAGTTAGTATGTATTATGTGCTTGTCTTCATCTAGTTATTGCCTTTGTTATTGCTGTTGTAATCTTTTTTGCGGTTGTATATTTTGTATGCCTTTCTCTTAGCATTGTGTATAAAATAATAAGAGACACATGGCACAGTGGATAAAGGCGTTGGTTAGATCCAATGACAGGACCCAAAGAGTGTGAGTTCAATACCCAGTTAAGGCAGTAGAGAACTTGAAGAGGGAAATTAACAAGAGATAACTGATAGCTGACATCCATTAAATATGGTACGTGGAACTAGAACAGTCTACCCCAGTGAGCGAAATAAAGGGTTCAGTTCGACCGGGTATTGAATTCACACTCTTTGGGTCTGTCACTGGATCTAACCAACGCCTTTATCCACTGTGCCATGTGTCCTTGAAGACATCTGGGTATGAATTTCTGGGTATTATAAACCTGTTTTCAGCAACCATTTTTTAACCCGGTTAAGGCAGTCGAGAACTTTCAGAGCGAAAATTAGCAGGTGATAACTGATAACTGTCATCCATCAAACATAACACGTGGAACAGTCTACCCCAGTGATCGAAATAAAGGGTTCAGTTCGAAATTCTAACCACCTGAAGAAGGCCGGAGCGTACAACGGCGGAAACGTTATGACAAATATGGCGACAAAGATGAGGACAATAGTCCGACTAATGAGGACAATAGTCCGAATAATATAAATAGTGTACATAATACCTCATCTCAGAAATATAGACAGATACTGAAAGGCCGAAACGCTGTGTTAAATATGGCAACAAAGATGAGAACAATAGTCCGAATAATGTAAATAGTGTACATAATACCTCATATCAGAAATAATAAGAATATTGAATTTTTTTTAATGTGTTTTCTATGTATATTTCTTTTTTGGTAAGTATTGGGGCTGCTGATATTTTTGTGCTCTTAAATAGAATCCTAAAATTATTCCAGATTTGATCTTGTGTTGGGAATAAAAATTGATAAGGCCTTTTTTGTTGGTAGATTTTCTATAAAGCTCAAACTGAAGTTTGTCATTATTTTTATGCAGCATGATTTCTAGGAAGGGTAAAGTGTTGTTAGACTCTCATTCAATGGTAATGTCTATTGTTGGTTC